CAAAAGTTACGACTTCTTATCGACACAAAATATTATAACGGGTGTGTCATAATAAACTGGACTAAATGTTATTGCATATTATTCGTACTTTCTCTTCAAATAAAAAGTTCCTTTATATACCAAAAGATAGAAAATTGAATTTTCTACAAAACCTACTATCTGAATGTCTGAGAGCATTTTTCTTGTTTGAGCACCATTCAAAATATAAAAACATAAAAACATTAAAAAAAATATAAAAACAGCACAGTGAAAATAGAAAAACATTTGCCTTGATTCAAAAACAGACTCCACAAGAATTTTGAAACCATTAGAAGATTCACCGAAAAATTTTGCATCTTCTCACATATTTTTCAAAATTTTGCAGTTAAATCTTCTAGAAAAATTTCTCTGTGCAAAAGCTGATAAATCTAAAAAAATCTAACTTTTGAACCCATTTTTCATAGACGTCTATAAAAGCAGTAAAACGTTCTGAATTCAGGGTTTTAGTCTTATTATCTTACATAGAATTAAATTCTGTGTCTTTTAATATATAAACAAAGTTTCTCAATTGAAACCATTAATTAAAAAACTTAATTTAATTTGAAAAAATTGAAAAGCCGGTTGAAACCTAATTATGAGGCCAGTTGACGTAGTGGAAACATTGCATGAGGTTGTAAATGAGTGAGATCGATAGAGCGAAAAATTCTCTATCTTACCTAGAAAAATTAACTATTGAACCTCAAACAATGGGCTAAAAATCTAAAAAAACCGAGACGAGAAAAGCACGTCGCAGTTCGACAGCTCAGCACCCTTCAATATTTTGAATGGTGCTCAAACAAGAAAAATGCTCTCAGACATTCAGATAGTAGGTTTTGTAGAAAATTCAATTTTCTATCTTTTAGTATATAAAGGAACTTTTTATTTGAAGAGAAAGTACGAATAATATGCAATAACATTTAGTCCAGTTTATTATGACACACCCGTTATAATATTTTGTGTCGATAAGAAGTCGTAACTTTTGATAATTCAATGCACGAAAGTCCTTCAAAGTCTTACTATTTAGCATCACTAAATCCCATTTTTCACGGGCTTTCATTTGGTATAAAATTCATCGTATCTCCGATTTAGAATTATAGCGTTACCCCCCTTGAATAATATTATTTACCACCCTGTAAACAAAAATCTTACTTTGATCATTAAGAAGTCATTCATTATTTAATAAAACGGAACAATATCCTTGAAAGTCTTCTAGACCATAAATAATTTATTGATAAATCATAAATATTTATTTTATTAGTACAGCGATAATTATTATCAAATATACCTTTGAATAAAAGTATATCCAGTTGAGTATCATTATTAAAACATATTTTTCTTGTGCGATAGCCTTGAGACAATTTAATTCGTCTCAAGTAAAAAAAACAGGAATTCATTTTTATTGTGACTGCTATTCATCCTCATTTGAATGTGAAAATCGAAACATTTATATCTGTGAAATAGATAAAAAAAACTGTCAAATGGAAAAGTGGAAGATTATAGTCAATAATAGGAACTAAAAACGGTCCGTTTACGGCACGTTAACTTACCGTTAACGACCAGTTAACGGTAAGTTAACGGTGCCGTTTTCTTGGACCTGGACTACGATGCAAAAGTAACTGTACACATGTCTCACCTTTTTTCTTGGAGCGAAGCACGTTCCGAGAATAGCAAAAATAGTTACTTTGAATGTATACTTCTAGAGCTTTCTAATTATGTGTTCAGAAATATTCTATCGCTATAAGTCTTTTGGCAGTGAGCGAATCTTTGGTATCACCAAAAATTGAGGCTGTAACAATAAAAATTTTGAATAAAAACTGGTCAAACTTTTAATTTTACCAAAATCCTGCTTTGTGAAAAAAGTGTGTTTATCCGCTTTAATGTCACCAATGCACCCAAATATCAGAAAAGTGATCCTCAAATTCACTTGATAAAAGTTTTAAGTTTAAACAGACCATAAATAATATTTCATTTCCTCATATTTCTTTCTTCTGGCCACCGTTACTAAGATATTCGCTGAGGGCACTACTAGACATGTCCTCGACACTACGCTTTAGTGATACCCTCAGCGAATATCTCGGTAACAGTGCTTGGCCAGAAGAAAGAAATATGAGGAAATGAAATATTATTTATGGTCTGTTTAAACTTAAAACTTTTATCAAGTGAATTGTAGGATCACTTTTCTAATATTTGGGTGACATTAAAGCGTCTGTCTGACCACGTACCGTATGTGATTCAGAGTAAAGTAGGTGAAAACATCGCGGACTTTTCTTTTTACAAATTTACAGTGCATACATACAAACTATTGTAAAATGAATCGTTGTATAACAACGGAATACACAAATAAATGCACCTGTATATTATTTGTTGGTGAAATCGAGGTTATTGGGCAAAAACGAGGCAGCTGATTAACGGCCAGAGCGACATCTCAAAACGTCTTGTTATTTTTAAGTTAATAAATGAGTATTTGGGAAAAAATAGTCATGGAAATCAAAGAAGTTAAAAAATATATGTACGAATTTTGTATTAGTTCATGATTGGTTAATAATATTCTCCACAGTTTATACCTTGAGTGACACGATCTTGAGCAATGTTACAAAGAGAATGATGTTGTTGCTTCCTTTTATATTAGCTGCAAAAAATAGTAGCTCCAATTAGAAATGTGATTAGACACGTTCTGATGTACGTGAGTTCGCATTGATCGTGGCTCCGTGGAGATACGATTTGGAGCTAAAAGGAAACAACGGAACGACATAATGGAGAACATGAATGTTGTTTATGCTATAGTCGTGTTGATTTGCAGCTAATGCTGACATGTTACGCGTATTGTATTGCGATCCATCTGAGGCTACAACTAAATCTGTCCGACGGGTAACCCTCCAATAATTTAAAATAGTTCTTTTCACCAGCCAAATGAAAAACAAATTTGTAGAAAAAGCTCGCGCAGCGAAAAATTTTCAGCCGACTCCCCTCCGATCCTAAATATTTTTTGTGGAAAAGTAGTTTAATTTTTAAAAAGTCGTTATAAATTTCGACGCTCCCCAATCCTGAGTGTCTCGGATCAGATCTGACCGTCTGTCATTCTCTTCGGTTTTATCTTTTAGATAAACTATTGCAGAAAATAATGGCGAATAAGGTATGTACAAAAATATTTTCAAAACAATTTTTATCTTACTGTACCAACGATGAAATGTTCATTTTCAATAACTCTGTTTTCTTCTTTTCGACTTATTCAAAAATTTTGTATTTTATTTAGTTCAGAAATACACTAGATTTTCCAACACAAGGACAAAATACTTTGGATAATTGTGATCCTGATGGATCGGCCGGTGAAGAAGACAGCGATCCTTGCTGGGGTCGTCTCTTAAGTATAAATAAATTGTTCACATCGATTAATTTATACGAGAACGAATATTCTCTTGGTCGTAATGCAAAATGTAAAATTGTGTTAGATTCACCATTAATTCAACAATCCAAATACTTTTTAGCCTATTCAAGTGTTCATTTCAAAATTACTCGTGAACAAACGGGATCACATACATACACTTATTTACAAGATACAAGTTCTAACGGTACATTTATTAATGGAGACAAAGTCGGTAAAAATAATCGACATGTATTACAAAATAATGCTGAAATAGCATTAGCATCAAAAAGTAATCGTGTATACGTTTACATCGATATTAGTGCCAAAGAAGATATAACAATACCGCCTGAAATCAGAGAAAAATATATGATGTCAAAGGAAATTGGACGTGGTGCTTATGGTGCAGTTAGATTAGCATTTATGAAAGGTAATAAAAATTTTTACATATAAAATTTATTTTTCAAATTTATAAAATAAAATTGAATTATATTTATTTAGGTACATGCGAGCGTTTTGCAATAAAAATAATTCAAAAAAAACATTTTACAACTTATGGGACAACTGCTCTTGCATTTAACAAACAAATTGAATCAGAATGTACTATATTAAAACAACTTAATCATCCATGTATTATTCGAATATTTGATGTCATTGATACAAAAGAAACTGTATATATTATATTAGAATTAGTTGAAGGTGGTGAATTATTTGATCGTGTTGTTAGTCAAGGACAATTTGATGAACAAACAACAAAATGTCTCTTTGAACAAATGTGTCAAGCTATTAAATATTTACATGAACAATCAATTACTCATCGAGATATTAAACCTGAAAATATTCTATTATGTCAACCAGATACTAATGAAACATTAGTAAAAATAACAGATTTTGGATTATCAAGATTTTTTGATGAAACAAATGTAATGAAAACATTTTGTGGAACACCAAACTACTTAGGTAATTAAATTTGATACCAAACATATGGCTGATAACTAGGGGTAACATTTTACTAGTCACTCGGCGTTACTTTACCAGATACAGTAACGAAGTTAGTTACTTCATTACCAGTAACGAGTAACTACTTTCGTTACTTAGTTACTAGTAGCGAAATTACTTGTTACTTGTAACAGAGTTACGAACGTAGTTCCTCGTTACTGGTAATGAAATAGCTAGATTCGTTATTTCTTTACTAGTAACGAGTAACTAACTTCGTTACTAGTTACAAGTAAAGGTAAAGTGCCATCCCTACTGATAACTTAATAAATATACACTTGAATATATGATGAGAGAGAAACAGCTAATTTTTCGATTTTCACTGTTTAAATCGAAAATTGAAAAAATCACTGTAAATTGGTGAGAATCGAAAAATCAGTTGTTTCTCTCTTGATATATGATCATTCATTTATTATTCGAATTTATATTCGATTTTGCTCTTTTCATCACATATCGGTTTCTTTATCTTTAGCTCCTGAAATCTTACTATCTCGTGGCGAAGGTAGTTACACAAATAAAGTCGATGTATGGAGTCTTGGGGTTATTCTTTACATTTGTTTAGGTATAACTAGCTATTTGTGATATTTCTTTTTCTTCTATTATATCTAAATCTATGACTCTTTCTATTTCATAGTTGGTTATCCTCCTTTTTCTGAAACACCCGAGTTACCTTGTTTAACTGATCAAATTGTTAAAGGTTTATATACATTTCCAAAAGAATTTTGGTCTGGTATATCCAATGAAGTAATTGATTTAATTAAAAAAATGATGAATATTGATCCAGTGCAACGTTTGTCCATTCAGCAAGTACTTGAACATCCATGGCTACTAAATGATAAAGATAATAAAGAAAAAGTTCATAAATTAATGTATGGACCGACAACGGCTACGTTGCCAATTGCAACTACATCAAATAAACGAAAGAGTGATAATGATGGTGGAACTGCAGAAGTACCAACACCAATTGTAGATACCCGTTCAACATCGAAAAAATCAAAAAAATAGAATAATTATATAATTGAAAATGAACCAAGTAATTTTTAAACCCGTGTAAGGTGTAAATTCATACGTCCAGTTTTATCGATGTTGTTATTCGTCTATATTTTTGCTGTTATTTCACTGAATAGATAATTGTTTACGCTTTTTTTTTTCGCAAGTTTCTTTTGATCAACATATATTCATTGATCGACAGAAATATAGTAAGAATAGTGTTGAATCTAAATTTAAAAAAAGCAAACTTCGATCTTTGAACAATTGTTTAAGTGGGACAAATTTTTTTTTCTGACAAAAAGATACCTTTTAATATATTTTTAGCTTTTTTAAAAGATACGTTTAATTCTAAAGAACGAGCTTAAGTTTTTAGAAATTTTAGAATCTAATATATTTTCTTATAAAAAAAAAGTTGTCGTGAAAAACTTTAGATATAAATGACAGTCTTAGTCATTTTTTGTTTTTATTGACAAATACGTAAGATAGTTAAAAAGTTCTGTCATTTCTAGAAAGGACACTGTGGATTAAGATCAAGAAACTTCTACACACTTTTGTATCATCGTTCTGAAAGCCCAAATTCTGGCAGACAAGAATCTGTCATCAGACTATCTCCAAGTCTTTTCCTTTCAGAAAAAATTGAGCTTTTATAATCAAACTGCCCATACAGGCAAATGTTTGAAAAAAAAACGAACTCCTTTGATGTTAAATGTTCTCAGTGCAACACATCTGAACAAAGATCACTAATTACTGCCATTTTGTAATGAAAATGTGCTGAATCCAGTGGTTAAATCCACTTGTACAAATCTCTCTTACTTTTCGAATTATAGCCATTGTACTGAACCTTTGTCCATTTGGGCAGCTTGATCATAAAAGCTCAATTTTTTCTGAAAGGAAAAGACTTGGAAATATTCTGATGACAGATTCTTGTCTGCCAGAGTTTAAGCTTTCTAACGATTGTATGGGACTATGTAGGAAATTCTTAGATCTTAACTGATCGGATCACTTTTTAGAAGTCCCAGAACTTCCTGTCCTAAGTAATTGTACGTAACACTTGATCGAAGAGATTTTTTGTACGGAAAAACAATTTTTCTACTAATCTAGAAAAAGTTTTGAAAAAGAAAATAACTGCTGTTCTTTATTTTATGTGAAAACAGAGTAATGTGTCGGTCATTTTCATTCAATTTTTTGATATTTTAGTATGTCTCTCTTTGTCTCATATACATACACGGTACATTCGTTGTAGTTATTGAAAATTTTCTTGTAGTATATTTTTATTATCGTCACGCTTCTGTTTCCTTTTTATTTTCGCAGTTGAATACTTATTTTTGGTGTATGCGTTTGTAAGCACTTTCTTTACTGCCGATATGGTATATTTTCTTGTAGGAATTATACATATATATTTGTCTGAAGTAAACAAAAAAGATTACAGTAAATATTATTTGTACTTGTTGTTTTTTTGGTAGAAGAGTAGAAACTCTCTTTTATTTTGATCAACTCTTAACCCTAAAGTATCATATTATCTGTTATAAAGGATGGCTTAGAATCAGCGGCACCTATCTCCACCTAACGATTTAAGATATTCAAATCCACCTTTCTCATATTGTACCTACCACCTTTACAACAAACATTAAGAATAAGAAATTTGACATGAAAAGTTTCTTTTACTTTATGATTGAAAAAAGTAAAGAGAATAAAAGAAAAACAGTATGATATCGCTCGGCGTCTCTTTCCATGTGAGTAACAAATAGTTGATATTCTAGTTGAAGCATAATCACAAGATTACTCATTTTATCTTTTATCTTATGCTGTAGAAACTGTATATGCGTACTCCTTGTTTCTTTATGAGGACAGTTTATTCTCTATACTCATTTAAAAGTTCTATTTCCTACCTTTTAGATGTAGTTTCCAACACCAACTTGCAAATTTCTCTCAATATTCAATCTACGAAAGAAAACGTATTCATATGTATTAACAACGATGTATCTTCTATGTTTTACTGTGAAGTACAGAAGTATTCCATGATGATCAAATTCTAAAACGTTTCATCTCTAAAAGTCATACCGTCCAACTTCTATATTATGTAAACGTTTCGCTTTCGAATCTAGACAAGATACTACCTATTTTCCTCAAAAGTGCGCTTCAAACATTAGTTTCAACTCTCTCGTTTTAGCTCAAATTGACATGATAACAAAAAAATTTTCAATGATGTACTATTGTCGGTAAAAAAAAAGAATGGACTCGGATGTTTTTTGAATAACGTTTGACAGAAAAGTGGCAGACGCTTGCAGTCTTCACTAATCGAAAGCTAGGATCTAACTGCATCTTTTCACACTGAAAATTATTTTCAAAATCTTTCCCTAAAGCAGGTTTTTCAGAAAATCTTTGGAAAACCAGGTTATTGCTCAAAAACTTGAAATACAAATGGTTTGATTTTTTTTTCATGAATAGATAGTCCAAAGTGTCCTCTTCAAAATGGCAGTTAAGCGAGACTCTCACCTTCGATCGCTTAGGCCAGGCATCGAATTTCCTGAGAGTCTCAGAACTGGTCTTTTCTCACCCATGGGAACCTCACAATTGACTCTAGACAAGGGTTATCGACCACGTTGAGTCTTGTGGCACTCTCTGTTTAACGATTTAAGAACGTTTTTACATATGAACTTTCGGAACCCGTACTGAGCCTAAGCTGTTATTACTACTGTACTATCCTAAAACTACACTTTATTTCAAATCAGTATAATGTTACATAAACAAGAATAAAATGAAACTTTTTTAATTTTTGAATAAGTACTTTTTCTTCGTACCAACTTTATTTTTATTATATTCCAAACGTTTCGATTGAGAGTTCAATCTTCATCAGTGGATACAAACATGAATTAAATTAATTAAAATTACATAAACAAAAACAAA